TCATTGTTGTTTGGCAGGCCCAGGCTGGATTTGAACCTGCCACCTTAGGTGTATGTGGCTGGCGCCTTAGCCACATGAGCCACAGGCGCCGTGCCTAAATTGCTTATTTCTTCTGTGTTGCATTACATTATCATTAAGCTGCAAAATTGATTCTTATACTTTTTTACTGGGCTTCCTGAGAAGAAGAGTTCATGGGAAATGTATTTTCTGTTTTTGTGTTTGTACAAATTTATTTTCTTAATACCAGAAGGACAGTTTGACTTAGAATAAACTTTTTGGTCCTCCTTTCCCAAGGAATTTATAACATTGCTCTATTGTTTCTAGGGTTGGATACCACAGTGTAAAACTCAGAATCCAGACTATTTTTTTTTTTCACATTTATAGATTAATGTGATTTTCTTTTTCTCTTCACTACATAGAATTTTCAATCATTGAAATCTAGTTATTTGAAAAATATGTTGGGAGTGGCACCTGTGGCTCAAAGGAGTAGAGCGCCAGCCCCATATGCCAGAGGTGGTAGGTTCAAACCTAGCCCCAGCCAAAAACCGCAAAAAAAAAAAGAAAAATATGTTGGTTCTACACCCGCAGCACAGTGGTTATGGTGGCCAGCCACTTGCACCGAGGCTGGCAAGTTTAAACCCAGCCTGGACCAGCTAAACAACAATGACAACTACAGCCAAAAAATAGCTGGGTGTTGTGGCAGGTACCTATAGTCCCAGCTACTTGGGAGGCTAAGGCAAGAGAATCACTCAAGCTCAAGAGTGTGAGGTTGCTGTGAGCTGTGATGTCACAGCGCTCTACTGAGGGCAACACAGTAAGATGCTATCTCAACAAAAAAAAAAAAAAGAAAGAAAAATATGTTGATTGATCTGTTTTTATTTTTCCTAGTATTTGATGTTTAAGTTGATAGTTCACAACTTTCTTAGTTTGGGGAATTTTATTTTAAATATTGTTTTTAGTTTTTTTCCTAATTCATTTTTCTGGGTTTTCTTATCCTTTGTGCAGAAATTATGTGTTACGTTGCACTTTTTCATTTCCCATATTTATAATTTTATTCCTAATCCCTGTAAACTATTACGTCTTTTTGGTTTTATTCTGCTTTCTCAAGCCTGTTGTTTTTATTTCTTTTTTTTTTTTCTTTTTTGAGACAGAGCCTCAAGCTATCCCCCTGGGTAGAGTGCCATGGCATCACGCTCACAGCAACCTCCAACTCCTGGGCTCAAGCGAGTCTCCTGCCTCAGCCTCCCAAGTAGCTGGGACTATAGGCGCCCGCCACAATGCCCTGCTATTTTTTTGTTGTAGTTGTCATTGTTGTTTGGGGCCCGGGCTGGGGATTCGAACCTGCCACCTTAGGTGTATGTGGCTGGCGCCTTAGCCACTTGAGCCACAGGCGCTGAGCCAAGCCTGTTGTTTTTATTTCTTACTAGGTTAATGTCTTTTTTAATGTCTTTGTAAATATTTCTGTGGTAGTTTTTCTTTTTTATTGCTTTCCTGTCTCTCCTATTTTACTTTTCATCTTCTCTTGTCTCGTATCTCTGTGAGCCTTTATATGTCATTTCTTTGGGCTCTTATATCTCACTGAACTCTTGTTTCATAGAAAACAATTTTTTTCATTAAATTATTTCACAAAAATTTGGTGATAATTTTCATTTTTACCGTGGCAAAATTTTGTGTATATCCTTCATAGTTTATATTTTGTGTGTTCTTTTTCCTTTTGCTTATTCTTTTTCTTTAGTGAAAGGAATTTTCTTGGAAAATCTAGTTTGGGAAGGTTATTATAGGGGAAGGCTAGAAAAATAAGATACAAAGTAGGCATCTTGAGTTTTCCAGGTATACCCCAGACTAATGGGCAGTATCCCTGACTCACCGTGAGGCCCTACTTCATAATGAAGTATATGTGTCTGTAAATAAGTAAGTTGATTTGTTCTGCTTCAACTAAAACACATTGATCACTGCAAAACAGTTTGACATCCTGCCAGACTGATTGATGCCTTCTTACAAAGATGATTGAATTTCTTTAATCAGTTTTATCTTCCTTGCCATTCCTGTGTCGTCCGTTAGATTTTAGATGATCTGCAGAGCTAGGCCTTATATTGTGCTTGTGTAATGGCAGGGGCAGCAGGGTGGGGGCAGAGCAGGGTTTATATTCTTTAGGGTGTGTGTTGGTTTTTGTTTTGTTTTTGAGACAGATGATGTTTTTTTCTTTTTTTTGAGACAAGAGTTTCCCTATGTTGCTCTCGGTAGAGTGCCTGTGGCATCATAGTTCAGGGCAACCTCTGACTCTTGGGCTTGAGTGATTCTCTTGCCTCAGCCTCCCAAGTAGCTGGGATTACAGGTGTCCACCCCAAAGCTCAGCTATTTTTTGGTTGCAGTTGTTTAGCTGGCCCAGGCCAAGTTTGAACCTGCCACCCTTGGTGTATGTAGCTGGCACCGTAACCACTATACTACAGGCACCAACCCTTGAGACAATTTCTTACTCTGTTGCCCTGGGTAGAGTGCTATGGTATCATAGCTCACAGCAGCCTCAGACTCCAATATTGGAGCACTCCTTTGTCTCAGCTTTCCCAGTAGCTGGGACTACCCACCATGCCTGGCTAATTTTTCTATTTTTAGTAGAGATGGTATCATTGTTGCTCAGGATGGTCTCAAACTCCTGAGCTCAGGCAGTCCACCTGCTTGCCTTCCAGAATGCTGAGTG